TAGATGATGACCCGAGAGTCGCCGCAGGTCACCACGCAGGGCTCGTTGGTGCTGCTGGCCAGAGGTTGGGGACACTTGGGCTCGCAGGGGGTGGCACAGGCCAGCTGGGTGGAAGCCATCGCCTGGTGGTGCTGGGGGAGAGCCTGCGAGGTTAAAAAAACGCAAAGAAAGGTCCAAAAGAGAAGCAAAGGTCCAAAAGCGAAGCAAAGAACTCCTGGCAGCTCTTGGATGTTGCCATTTGGGTCTAAGAGATCGTCGGAGGAAATTGGGATAGAGACAAAATTTGAGGGCTGGTTTATTGAAATTTGGCTCTAAAAGATCGCCAGAGGAAATTGGAACAGAGACAAAATTTGAGCATTGGTTTGTTGACATTTGGATCTAAAAGATTGTCAGAGCTAATTTGGATAGAGACAAAATTTGAGGGCTGGTTTATGGACATCTGGATCTAAGAGGTGGTTAGAGGAAATTGGGATAGAGTCAGAATTTGAGCGTTGGTTTATTGACATTTGGCTCTAAGTGATCATCAGAGGAAATTGGGATAGAGTCAAAATTTGAGCAATGGTTTATTGACATTTGGCTCAAAGTGGTTTTCAGAGATAATCGAAATAAAGACACGAGCCAAGGGCTGGTTTATTGACATTTGGCTTTAAAAAATCGTCAGAGAAATTTGGGATAGAGACAAAATTTAAGCGCTGGTTTATTGACATTTGTCTCTAAAAGATCGTCAGAGATAATTGAGATAGAGACAGAACTGGAGCTCTCGTTTGTTGACATTTGGCTTTAAGTGGTTTTCAGAGATAATCGCGATAAAGACATGGTCGAGAGCTGGTTTATTTGGCTCTAAGTGTTTTTTAGAGGTAATCGAGATATCTCTAAAAGGATATTGTGCTCCTAAACTCGGAAAAAGACGAGAGTTGAGCACTCGGCTATTGACATTGTAGGAGATAATTCAGGTAAGAACAAGAGCTGATCGCTTGTTTGTTGACATTTGGCTCTAAGTGGTTTTTAGAGATAATTCAGATAAAAACAAGAATTGCTCTCTTGGCTGTTGACATTTCTTTATAAGATCTTGTTAGGGATAACTGAGATAAAAACAAGAATTGCTCTCTTGACTATTGACATTTCGTTTTGAGATCTTTTTAGGGATAACTGAGGCAAAACCAAGAATTGCTCTCTAGGCTATAATTTCCTTTTAAGATCTTGTTAGGGATAATTGAGGTAAAACCAATAATTGCTGTCTTGATTATTGAGATTTATCTTTAAGGGATCCTCGGAGTTAATTAGGATGCAGTTTTATCTCCCACCTTTAACTTTCCCGCCCCGATTTGTTCTGAATTCCTGTTAATTTCCCCCTTCTCTCCTCCTCCCCCTGGAGCAGAACTCCTCCTCTTTTCCTCCTGTGCCACCTCCCAGCCCCGGCCCTTTGGAGGAATTCCTGAGGACGGGCTCGAACTCGTTCCCACAGCGCCTCTGTTCCTCCCACACTTGGGGAAAAAAAAAAAAAATCCGGATTTTCCACGTATTTCAGCGTGGAATAATCAGCTTTGCACCCTGCTTAATTTTTGTATTATTTTCCTTGCAGATTCCCGTTGTTTTTTTTTTTTTTCCCTCTGTGTTTTAGCACGAAAATATTCTGCTAAAACACAGGGGAAATAAGTAAAAGGCTGAGAATAAGTGGGAGTGTTAAGTGTTCGTTTAATAAGCGAAACATATAATTAAATATTTATATAATATAATATATATGTTAAATTATTTCTATGGTGATATAATCAAGCCAAATAAGAAAATTGCATTTTCACCTAGGGGAAATTAATTCAATAATGTTTATTTCTTCAGGTTAAATCCTCACATAAAAGCCTGGTGTAGCATCAGAATATTTTTTTAAACTTGTAAATTAAATTTATCCTTTTGATAATGTAAAAAAAATTCAAAAATACCCATGCAGGGCATTTTCCTCCGAATTCCCTTAAGTTAGAACGCAGCACTGACCTACAGAAATGCTGAATTTAATCTCTGTAAAAGCGCTTTAGAATTGTAAACCACTTTTAAGAGTTAGAAATGAAAGTTATTGGCACAGTTACGTTAATAATCCATAATAATCACTTGGTGTAGCTCGCTGTAGCTCCAATTAAATTAAGGATGAGCTGATCCAAGCAGCAGCAGAGCTGCACCGAGCTCAGTTCCAAGCAGGATTTTGCACAGTTTTCCATTAATTCCACCCTGAACCCTCTCCCCGATCGTGCCACGAAACCAAACGCGAAGTTAAATCCATCCCCGAAACTCTCCCAAATATTTTTTCCACAGTTAAAAGACTGAAATCCTCCTTCTCCCATAAATCCCAAAAGCCCCGCTTTGACTTTCGCCTCCTTTGCCCAGCACGAAAAGCCCTCCTAAATCAGAACCAGAACATTCATGCAAAGCTCAGCCCCGATTTTGGGGAGAAATCCACTCAAAAAGCAGAAGGAAAATTGAGGATTTTAGAGCCGGACTTACTCAGAGAGGCGGAGAGGAGGAGTCGGGAGAGGCAGTGAGGAGATGCCGGGGTGGAGAGGGGATTTATACCCTGCCCCGATGGCCGGGGGCGGCTGAGCCACCCTTTGCTAAAGCGCTTTAATGACTCGGGAGCCGAGCCCGGTGCAGGGATCGCTGCTGGAGCCGCAGGAATTGTTTTGCTCGCTGTTTATGATTATCTAAAGCCGCGTTGGGCAATAACCCCAAAAATGCAGGTGGCAACTGGCCAGGTCTTTTCATCTCGGAATTTCCTGCTTTTCTGCTCCCGGTTTCATTAAGAGGTGAAAATGCAGCGAGAATTAATGAGGTTTTTTAGATTATCTTGGCTAAAAGCTGGAGCGGGCAGGGAATCTTGGAGAGCCAGGGTGATTTTCATTATGGAAGCAAAACCTGACGCAGGGAATCGTGGCCGTGCCTTGTTTATCAAATCTGGGATTCTTTCCCGTAATATTGATGGGATTTACGGGTGTGCTCCTAAATCAGGGGAAGAAGCTGCTGCAAAGCTGAAGAGCAAAGCTCGGGGTTATCTTTGGAATAAAAACGAAGCCGTTCATGAATTATGCCAATTGTGAAGTTTAAAATGAGGAGCTTGATGAAACACTTTCCATAATTTATTCTTTGTGAGGTCACAGCAGCCTGGATCCTCTAGGATGTCATTACCGTGATTACCACGAAATGATTTCCCTGGATGACAAACTCGCAGAGGTTTTGAGATCCTCTTTGAAATCTCATTTTCTGATGTCTCCGGAATATTCCTGATAAGCTCCAAAGCCCTGCAGGATATCTGGAGGTGCCTCATAAAATCAGAATATTTCTTGGGATGCCACAAACCCCAGGATAGCTTTACCTCGTCTCAAGGTGGGCATTTCCAGGCGCAAAAGTTCCCCCCGGAGGGAAGAGGGATTGAAAAGGGAAAAAAATGGAAAAAAGGGAAAAAAGGTGTTAAAGCACACGGAGAAAATGTGAAATTCACCCCTCGGAAAGGATTTCAGCTCTCTTCAACTGATCAGTTTGGGATTTCCCAACCCAGGAACCGAATCCGGGCTGGAAAAATCCGTCCCTGGAGCACAACGGGATCAACTCCTCCCAAAATCACCCGAAATGCAGCAATTTGGAGTGGAATTTTCTCTTTTCCACCAGCGTTTTGTGTTGTGCTCCTGTGCCTGCAGTTGGTTCGTCAGGAATTGTGGGGATGGATCCAGACTGACGGAGGGGAGGTTTAGGGAGGATTTGGGGAAGGAATCGTTCCCTGTGAGGGTGGGGAGGCTCTGGCACAGCTTCTCCAGGGAATTTCTGGGAAAATCCATTCTCAAAACTTTCCCAAATATTTTTTTTTTTCAGAATTAAGAGACTGAAATCCCTCATTCTCCCATAAATTCAAAGCCTTGGAAAAGCCCCCGCTTTGATTTTTGCACCCTTTACCCGTCACAGAAAGCAGAGCAGGAAAGCGCTCCTAAATCCCTGAGAACCGGAATATTTAAGCAGGGTTCAGCCCCGATTTTAAGGAGAAATCCACCAAAACGAAGAAAAGTGTCCGAGGCCAGGCTGGAAGGAGCCGGGACCGCAGCAGGGGTGGAACTGGGCGAGTTTTAAAGTCCCCTTCCAACCCAAAACCATCCCGTGAGTAACAAAGGCAACAAAGAGCGGGCGCAGACTGCAAACCCCACAACACAGAGCCTTAATATCCATTAATCCTGAATTACTGTAGAAAATTACATCCTTGCGCAGGGCAGGGGCAGCTTTACTACCGGTTCGTTCGGTTTTTTGTGCCCGAACCGGTTCTGCGGGGCTGCAGAGCCGCGGGGTTCGCTGCTGAGGCTGAGTCAGGAGCTCTGCCTGACGGAGGAATCATCAAAGAGAGGATTTGGGGTGGGAGCGGCGCTGCCGGAGCTTCGCAGCCCTCGCTGCCCCCGCTTCAAAGCGTCTCTGCCCGCTGACATCAGCGGCACCAAGCTCGCATCATCAGCAACAATTCCGCCCATCGGGTAATTAGCGGCAATTAACGCCTCGCTCCCCGCGCGTTCTGCTCTATCAGGAGTTCTGATTTCGCAGGGAAAGCCGGAGAAACCCCAAAATCCAGGCGGTGACCCCTGGTCCGGTCAGGGCAGGGAGTGACCTCGGTTGGTTTTGGGGGGTTGCACAAGAGGTGGCGGCTCCTGGGTGGGGAAAACTTCCCAAACCCGCCCAGGGAAAGGTTCTTGGGCTTGGTGGAACCCAGAGCATGCCCTGGGAAGGGGTTGTGGGGTTGGAGGAACCTGGAGAACACTCAGGGAATGGTTCTGGGGTTGGTGGAACCCAGAGAACACTCGGGGAAGGGTTCTGGGGTTGGTGGAACCCAGAGAACATTCAGGGAAGGGTTCTGGGGTTGGTGGCGCCTGGAGAACACTCATGGAAGGGTTCCTAGGCTTGAAGCACGCTTAGGAAATGGTTCTGGGCTTGGTAGAACCTGGAGCACGCTCAGGGAAGGAGTTTTGGGGTTGGTGGAACCCAGAGAACACTCAGAGAAGGGGTTTTGGGGTTGGTGGATCTCAGAGCACGTCCTGGGAAGAGTTTTGGTGTTGGTGGAACCCGGAGAAGACTCAGGGAAGGGTTCCTGGGCTTGGAGCACGCTTAGGAAGGGGTTCTGCGGTTGGTGGAGCATTGAACCTGGAGCATTACCGCGAAAGGGTTCTGGGCTTGGTGGAACCCAGAACACGCCCAGGAGAGGGTTCTGGGCTTGGTGGAACCCGGAGGACACTCAAGGAAGGGTTCCTGGGGTTGGTGGAACCCAGAGCATGCCCAGGGAAGGGTTCTGGAGTTGGTGGGACCCGGAGCATGCTCGGGGAAGGGTTCTGGGGTTGGTGGGACCTGGAGAACACTCAGGGAAGGAGTTCTGGGGTTGGTGGGACCTGGAGAACACTCAGAGGAGAGTTCTGGGGTTGGTGGAACTCAGAGCACACCCTGGGAAGGGTTCTGAGGTTGGTGGAACCCAGAGCATGATGTGTTTTGGCGTTTTGTTTTGATTTTTAAATTTATCCTCGATTTTGGTATTTTTGTTTTTAATTTTTAATTAATCCTGTTTTTCAGTGTTTGGGTGGAGCCCCAGATCTGAGTTCCCTCGCTGGCTTTGCGTCTCCCTCTGCTTGTCCCGGGTGGCATTGCACAACCTGCCTCAGTTTCCCCACAAAGCCAGGGATTTTTCTGCTCGACTTTAGAATTACTCTCACTCGATTTTGGAATTATTCCCACTTGATTTTGGGATTATTATCACTCCATTTTGGAATTTTACCCACTCCATTTCGGGATTATTCCCACTAGATTTTGGATTTTTTCCTTCTCCATTTATGGGATTATTCCCACTCGATTTTGGAATTTTTCCCACTCCATTTTGGGATTATTCCCACTAGATTTGGGATTTTTCCCCACCCGCCTCCCAGCAGGATGGATCCCTCCCCTCGGGAGGAAGATCCCACATTTTCAGGAGGGTTTAGGGCAGGGAATTGTTTAATGGGAGTAAACCACAGGAATGTAAACACGCGGGAGGAGGAGCCGGGTATTTTTAGCAACCTCTGGGTGTGGCAGATGCTCGGAGTCACCTTGGTCCTCCCGGGGTGGCTCCAGGGTGACAAATTCCGGCCAGCACCGGCCTCAGCTGCCACCAACCTGCCCCGGGGGCTGAATTTAATGCAATTCAATCCCTCGGGGGCTGGAGTATTAACGAAGTGTCATTGATGAAGTTTTATGCTTAATTAAGTGATGTTATCACCGGATATTGGAATATTTGAAAGCTGATAAGATGTGGTTTGATTCATCCTGGTTTTTAGTTCCGATTTTTAGTGTAGGAAAAGCAAAAATAGCCTAAAAATGAGAATTTGGGATTTGTTTATTCTAAATACCTGTAAATGTCCTTGCCGGGAGGTTCCTTGAGTGAGTCCAAGGCACTCAAAATTCCCAAATATCCCAAATATTCACGTTGGGATTAATTCCAGCCCCTAGGCGTGCAGGAGCTGATTCACCAAAAATCCAAACCAGCTCCTGCCCCAAAAAATACAAAATAATGACCCCGAAAAATGCTGCTCCCAACTCCCATCCTTGTGTTGCTAAAGTGCAGCTGTTGCCCAACATCTGGATGTCCAAATCCAAATCTTGGTGTCGCAAGGCTTGTGTACAAAGATAATTAATGTTTGTGGAGCGTTCCCAATGCCTGTCATTAGGGGAAGGATCATCCAGGAGCTGATTTGTGGAAAAAGCAGATTTGCAGATTTCCTTTGTGGATTAGACGAAATTAAGTGGATTGGTGTGGACAGAAAACCCCCGGCGGGGGGGTGGGGGAGGATTTTGGGAATGTGATTCCCCGGAAATTCCAGCTCCTTAATTCCCAGCTTGATCACTCATTACTTCTAGCTATTACCAAATATCGGCTAATTTATACATAATATTTAATATTTACATTTGTTTCTTTCACATTTTAGGCTGCACGTCCCCACGCTGCAGATTGTCCTTGGCTATAATATCTCTATTTATAAATATATTAATATTAATATTTATATTTAATAATTATACCTATATTAAATATAAAAATTACACCTATAAATTATATCTATATCTATATCTATATCTATATCTATATCTATATCTATATCTATATCTATATCTATTTATTTCTTTCACACATTGCAGATGATCCTTGCTCATAATATATAATATTTATATAATATTTATATCTCTCACACGTTGCAGATGGTCCTTGCCCATAATATATAATATTTATATAATATTTATATAATATTTATATCTCTCACACGTTGCAGATGGTCCTTGCCCATAATATATAATATTTATATAATATTTATATTTATTTCTTTCACACATTGCAGATCGTCCTTGCCCACAATATATAATATTTATATTTATTTCTTTCACATTTTAAGCTGCATGTCCCCATGCTGCAGATCGTCCTTGCTCGTAATATATAATATTTATATAACATTTATATTTATTTCTTTCACACATTGCAGATCATCCTTGCCCAACTTGTCCTAGCCTGGTGCCCCAGGGAGGGTGACAGCTCCTGCCTGAACACGCTTGGCCCAGGATTTTTGTCCTATTTTTGGGGATCAGCCTCACGAGTCAGCTGGAAAATTCATTCCAGGGCTTCAATTAATTAAACAACAAATAAAAAACCTGCATTTTTTGTGCTGGGCCCAGCTCCCAGAGGCAGCAGAATTTCACCCCAAAATCCAGGCTAGATGAACTCTGGGAAAAGGCAGAATCTCCTCAATTTTGCATGGCGGTTTGGTTAATGCTGATGTGGGAGGGGTTGAGCCTCAGAAAAAGTCCCAAAGTCACTTCTGGGACCAAAAAAGGTCAAAATTAAATGTAGAGGAGAAAGTTTTCCACCAGAACTGGAGTGACTGGACAGGGGGGTGGGTTCAGACTGAAAAAGGGAAAATTTGGGTGGGATTTGGGTTGGAATTGTTCCCTGTGAGGGTCCCAGGATATTCCATGGATTTTCCATCCTTGGAAGTGTCCAAGGCCAGGTTGGACCCACCTGGGATAGGGGAATTGGGGTGGGATTTTTTGGGATTTCAGGTTCCTTTCCATCCCAAACCATTCCAGAATTCCCTTGGCTGGTTTGGATGTGATTTTAGGGATCAATCCTTCCCTGGCCCAGGTGATTCCATGGATTCCCCATCCCTGGAAGTGCCCAAGGCCAGGTTGGATCCACCTGGGATGGGGGAATGTCCCTGCCCATGGCAAGGGGTGGCACTGGATGATTTTTTTGGGGTCCCTTCCACCCGAAACCATCCTAAAAAACCAAAACCCAAAAGTGCATCTGCATGACAGCATTTAATGGGAATGAGAAGCTCAATTCACAAATGCAAAACTCACTGGAAAGGATAAAATCAAAGAATTCCAGGAGCGTCCACAACAAATCCCCACCCCCATGATTTCCATAGATTTGAGCAGAAGGATTTTGCAAAGAGATTTGCTCTTACAATTGCTGTAAATATTTTGATTTTGGCTTTTTTTTTCCCCTTACATTAAATGAGACAAAGGCAGGAAAAGAAGCTGGGAGAGCGTTACATGGTGAGGCTAAGCAGAAATAAAGCGCAGCAAGGAACTACAAATTCCTAATTTTCAGAAATGCCAAGTAGAGCTGATTTCTTTCTTTCTTTCTTTTTTTTTTTTTTTTAAATTCTGGTTCAGCAAAATTTGCAAATGAAGAGGAATTTGGGAAAAATTTCATTTTGGAACCCAAGATTTTCAGTCATATTGTTTGAGTGGATTTTGTAATTTTTTATTTCTAGAGAAATTAATAATAAAACATCCGTGTTGGCATAAAAACGAATTTATTGACACACAGATTTTAGCAAACCAAAAAAAAAAAAAAAAGAAAAAAAAAAGAAAAAAAAAGGATATATGTATTTTTAAAATCTGGTTTCTTGGAAAATTGTGGACTTTGGTTTGTCCTAATTTGGAATGAGGTAAATAGAGAAATTTCAGTTTTTTCGCAGTTTGGAAATTCTAGTCCTCAGGCAGGTCTAGTGCCAGGAATCCCTGGATTTATGGACTCCATGGGAACCTCGGGAGCTCGGCACTTCTACAATCCATTATCCATAAACTTTAGTCGGGCTCTGTCTGACTGCTCGGCTCTGCTTTTTCAGTCTATCCACAGATATCCAGGCAAGGTTTAGGTTGGCCTGCAAGTTCCACAACAAAACTGCGATGAGTGAGGAGGAAAAGGATTAAAAACCCCCAAAGCGCCCCGAAAGGAGGCGTCCGCAACCGAGCCCAAAGTGCACCTACCCCCAAACCCAAGGAATCCCTGGGAGCCCAGGAAGTTCCTGATGTCCAGCAGGGCCGTGGAGCCCACCAGGGTCTGCTGGGGGAAGGTGGTCAGCGTGGGCCCGGGGTAGATGACGGAGTAGGGGGGAAAGTCGGGCTCCACGATGTCCACCACGGTGTCGGGGTACTTGATGACGCAGGTCTCGTTGCGGGTCACGGCGAAGGGCTCGGGGCACGCCAGGCCCGCGGGCAGGCAGCACTCGTGGAAGGGAGACATGGGGCAGGGCAGAGCTGGAAAGGAGCAGGGAAAGAGGGAAAAATGAGTAAAAGCATCCTTGGTGTGGTGGGAAATATCTGGGATGAATAGCGGGGTTTTACGGGTTATTGGGATTTGCAGGAAATTTGGGATTACAGAGAGCTCATGTTGGAGTTCAGTTTGGCAGGGTAGACCTGAAAATGAGCAGGAAAAGAGAGAAAAAAGAGAAAAAACATCCTCAGTGAGGTGGGAGACAGCTGGGATAAATAGCGGGGTTTTGGTAATGCGGTTATGGGGATTTATGAGAAATTGGGAATTCAGATGGAAGTTGAATTTCACCTGGAACTGAGAGGGAAAAGAGGGAAAAATTAGGAAAAAACCGTCCTTGATGTGGTGGGAAATATTTGGGATAAATACCTGAGTTAAGTTACGCGGTTATGGGAATTTACGAGAAATTGGGAAATAGAGAGGGCTCAGGTGGGAGTTGAATTTGGCAGGAATTGAGCAGGAATTCAGGTGGGAGTTGAATTTGACCTGGAATTGAGCAGGAAAAGAGGGAAAAATGAGGAAAAACTGTCCTTGGTGTGGCAGGAAAGATCTGAGATAAATAGCGGCGTTTTGGTAACGCGGTTATGGGGAATTGGGAATTCCAAAGATCTCAGGTCGGAGCTGAATTTGTCCAGTTTAGTTTTCCAACCAGGAGCTCTTTTCCTTCCTGGTTGAACTTCCTGCTTTTCAACTAATGGTATTTTTCAGACCATCACCATTTTAACCCCAAAATCTTTTATCCCATTGTTTCTCTTCCCAGGATTTTCACTGCATCCATCCCACCCCTCTTGCCAGTGGAAAACCACGACTCCCAACTCAATCCCAGATTTTCAACTCAGGTGTTAATCCTCATTTAAATCCCCAGTGTGGAGGTTGGAGCTCGTGTCCTCCTCCCACCCTGTTCCAAGTGGAACAGTGAGATCCAGGATGGAGATCCACCCATTTTTTATGGGTCTCATTAGGGATCAGCTGAATATTTGAAATCCCAGAGCACTTTAAACCCAGCCTGATATCGAGGCCAGATTTTCCCTGGGCATGGTTTAATTATGGATTGAAGGCCGTGCTTGCCCTGGATTGTGCCCACACGGATTGGGCAAGGAAAACACGTAAGGAGATGGGATAATTTTCCTCATTTTCCTCATTTTCCTCATTTTAGCTCTGTGGAAATGCTGGGGGAGAAATTAAGGGCTGGCAAAGGGGGGCTTGAAGTGATTTCCTAAATAATTCCCCACTTCACCCCAGGAATCTGTGGGGGAGACAAAATCCAGGGGGGATTTCTCACGTCTCCACCTGAGCGTCCCATTTTAACCTTCCCGAGTTAAAAATTCTGAGTTTTTTTCCAATTAATTAAAATCCAATCTCCTTAGGCTTGAAGGTGAGGAGAAGGCAACCACGAGGGATTTTTTTTTCAGCTGAAAAGCTGGATCTGGAATTGCTGATTTTGGCTTGGGGAAAAGAAGATCGGTCTGGGGGTTAGGATCTTCCAGTGGTTCCACACGATTTGCAAAAGCTCATCCCAAAAATCCTGAAAGGAGGTGAAAAAGGAGCCCTCAGATGTTCCTGCTACATTTGGAATTCAAAATAGAAATATATTTTAACCGAAGCCAGCAGTAAAGTGGATTTTGAGTAAGGAAAATCTGTGTTCTGCTCTCTGCAGGATTGGGAAAATATTTAGGGCGAGTTCTCCAACTTAAAAGACACCGGTGCCTCCTGGAAGACAGCTGAGGGTGAGAACATCGTAGAAATTAAATTTTAAATGATAATTTCTTTAATGACACTGACTCTTTAGAATATGAAAAGAGCACCATGGAATTACTGAGGCTCTTTAGGATTCAGAGGGAGTTTTCTGTGCCCTCCCTGCTTTCCTGAGCTCTCCCCTCTGAAGTGTAAAACTTCAATTAACTCCAAACTAAAGGATAATAAAAAGGCTTTTTCTGCTAAAACACCCCCTTGTCCTTTCAGGAGCTCGCCCTGTCATTTAATATTCAGATAACAATAACAACAATATCAATAAAAAAATAATAATTGATTTAAAATTCAATAATTGATTCAAAATTGACTTACCAGGATCACCCAAGGAGGAGAGGAAAAGTGATTAAGGAGGCTTCTACGTAGCAAATGCTTTTATACACGTCCCCGAAGCGCCTGGAGGATGTGACACCCTCTTTGCATGAAGTCTTAATTAGTTGCAAAACAAACTTTGCTGCCTGCATAACTTCTGCGAGTAATGAAACTGTTTTGCTCCCTGTTTGTGTTTGTTCCCTCCCGGAGCTTCCCAGAGCGTGCTACGCCCTCCGGGCAGGATTCACTTTGCCCTTTCAAGGGCCAAAAATAGGGCTCGATCTGCTGCTAATTAACCACATTTCAGTTATTTCGGGGCCTGATCAAGGGTTCTTTTATTGGCATTGGGTTTTCCCCCTCAGGTGCTGTGAAAGGGAGCTGAAGTGGCATCATTTCCTAGCAGGGAACTGAATTATTTTTATGATTTCCCAGCGTGGATTTTTTTTTTTTTTTTTATTCCCAAAACCACTCCCAGGGGCATCAATTGTACCCCTACATCTATGGATAAGGAGAAAAAATAAATTCGCCATGCCAGAATTCTCAATAAATTCCATGAATTCTCAAGAAATCTCATGAATTCTCAAGAAATCTTTAATTTCATGGTGTCAGTGACGTCATGGAGAAAGCTCAGCCTTATCTCCCATCCTCTCCTTGCAAATCTTGGGATGGGGTTTAAGTGGAACATCTGGATTTGCTCCTGGGCTTTGCAGGGTTTGACCCCAGCGCAATTAAAGGCATCCAAATCCCACCCACGGTTCTGGCTCCTGACTCAAGGTTAAATCACAGCCTCACATGGCCTTGATTTTGTTTTTTGGGTTTTTTTTTTTTCCCTTTTCCCCCAGTTTTTGGGTTGGAAAGGATGAAGTTGTGGGAAAAGGAAAGTTGGAATCATCCAGGTTTTCTGCGGCAGAATTAAGGGGGAGGGAGAAAGTAGACAAAAAATTGTTCTGTCCTGATGAAAACTTAGTTTAACACAAATTAGGGATGTTAGTTTAATATTAAACCCTTAAATACTGGAAAAAAAAAGATGGTGGGTAGTTTATCAACATTTTGAGTGAGCCAGACATGGATTTAAAATGTTTTTGTTGAGATTTTAAAGAGGAAATCAATGACAGAAAAATCATAATAAAGACACAAATCAGGATTCCCTCAAAGAGAGATTTCTGAGGGAGCCACCGGTTGTGTAGCCAGGAATATTTTGGGATAACAGCACCCAGACAATTTCATTCATTTACTACCTAAAAACTGTCCTTAATTGAAATCCTATTGGAATACCGGGATGGGGATCATTTAAATATTCAGGGACACCCTTAAAAGCACAATTCCACCTCCCTGTTTTACCCCTGATGCCCAAATCTGCATAAATCCCTTGGGATCAGCCCGAACCCTTTTGTTCCCAAGTGCCCGCAAATGCTTTTGCCTTAGGACCCCTCTCAGGCTGCAGATAATTTATGCTGGGAGGGAAAATGGAGAGTAAATAATAATTAGGAACAAAGGGAGGCAGCTCAACTTCCTGGCACCTGGCTTGGGATGTGAATCCTGGGAAAGAGGAATGAGAATTGTGGATATCCCATCCTTGGAAGTGTCCAAGGCAGGTGGGCATGTACCAAGATTTAACTCTAATTAACAACCCTAAGGGATTATAAGAAAGCTGTTCCACAGGATTAATTCAGCTGAAATGTCATTTATGAAGATATAATAGGACACTAATACATATTTCTATATTTTCATTTTTTTATATTTTAAAATGTTTAATTTTTTATATTTTATATTCCTATATTTCTCTATATTTACAGATTTGTATTTTATGTATGTATGTATATATACATATATTTATGCACATTTTTATATATCTATATATTTCTATTGCTAAATATTTATTTCTGTGTTTCTACATTTTTGCTTCTTATATTTTTACATTTTATTTCCTTTCAGAACGCACATTTCTCGCTGTTTAACCACTTAACACTCTTTTTAAAGACAATAATTAATTGCATTTATATAAAATTCACACAATGTGTGGCCAAGTGCAGATAAACCTTGAACCTGAAGGTTTATCCATCAGAGGTTGGATTTGATGAACTTGGAGCTGGCGTTCTGTGAGCACTCCCCTTTTCCCAGCCCCTTGTGCTGCAGAACATTCTGGAACTCGCGGGGATTTCTGCTCCCTCTGCATTTTTGGTCCCTCTATAAAAAATCTCCTGGGCCCTTCCCTGGCAGATGGATTTTCCGTCGCCTTTGGCAGATTTTAATTCCAGTTATTATCTGGGTGTAGGGAAGCACAGGAGGCAAATGAATCCTCCAAGGTCACCCCGGGAGCAGCCGGAGGAACACGCAGTGAACCGGGCTGCCATTTATTTCAATTTATTTCAAATCCAGATTTGAATTCCAGCGGCTCCTGCAGGCCTTGGCTGCGGTTCCACAGATCCGTGGGAGGAAGGAGAACCCCCAAATTCCAGGATCACCTGGGAATGAAGAAGTGGGAGCTCCAAGCCCTGGAAGGGATTTAGGGAAGGGCTGGGAGCACTTTTGGACGTGTCCTGAAATGGCTTTTCCAGTTGGGGCCTGGAAATCTGCACCAGTAAACACAGCCCTGGGTTTTATTTTAATAAATTATTCAGTTTTCAAAGTGTTCTGCGTAGTCACGTTCTCCTGGTGTGATTTGTGCAGTCCTGGAGTGGTTTAAAGAAGGATCTTTAAAAATTATTTAATTCCAAGCCCTCCCAGGAGCACAGGCCGCATTCCGCCAGGCCTCGGACACTTCCAGGGATGGAGAATCCACAATTCCCTCCAAAACATCTCCACCCTCCCACAGAACATTTTTATCCCAAATTTCTCCCTCAGAATGAGCAGCAAACTTTGATTTCTTTCCATTTTCCCCTCAAAAAAAAAAAAGCTGAGTTTCCCGAAGCTGCGTGAGGCCTTCAAGGCCCCATCCCTAATTAAAACCCC